ATATATCTTATATTTATGTAACGTCATTCTAAGTGTATTTGAATACTAATATATATACTTATATTAACATTAAAATACACTATGTATGACGTTACATATAAGATGTATATATATTATATATATATATATACAGTATATATATATTTTATATATACATATATACACATTTAATTTATTTTAAAACATGTTTAATATTTTTTTTTTTACACTACCCACCAGCTGGGGGACTGTCTGACATTTCAGACAGTCCCCCTGCTGGCAGATCCACAGCCAGCTATAGGGGACCATGTGATCGCTCTTTGAGTGCCATCACATGGCCCCTGGGGGCCTAATTTGCCGGGGGAGGGCTGCCTGGGCTGTCAGGCAGCCCTCCAGAAGAGGATCGCGGCGGAGGTAAGTACCTCCAAGCTCCTGGGGCTGCAAGCCGTTACGGCGTTCTATGCTGCCGCAACGGCTTTAAAGCCCATTTAATGCGGATCGGCATAAAACGCCGTAACAGCATTAAGGGGTTAAGCACCAGGTGAAGTGGAATCAAACACATGAGTAAAAATTTGTTATACATTATTATTATTATGTTATAATTATTATAAAGGGAAATGCACAAACATAGATGTATGCAATTATATATGTATTAAAGGACCACTATAGTGCCAGGAAAACATACTCGTTTTCCTGGCACTATAGTGCCCTGAGGGTGCCCCGCCGGGCTCTAGGGGGAGGAAGGGGTTAAACTTACCTCTTTCTCCAGCGCCGGGCGGGGAGCTCCCCTCCGCCTCCTCTCCTTCTCTTCTGCTGAATGCGCATGCGCGGCAAGAGCCGCGTGCGCATTAAGCCAGTCCATAGGAAAACATTCACAATGCTTTCCTATGGACGCTGGCATCTTCTTACTGTGAAAATCACAGTGAGAAGCGCGGAAGCCCTCTCGCGGCTATCAATGAGACAGCCACTAGAGGCTGGATTAACCCATTTATAAACATAGCAGTTTCTCTGAAACTGCTATGTTTATAGAGAAAAGGGTTAATCCTAAATGGACCTGGCACCCAGACCACTTCATTAAGCTGAAGTGGTCTGGGTGCCTATAGTGGTCCTTTAATATTTGACAATTGCATATATCTTTATGTTTGTGCCTATCCCTTCTTATTTTGTATTGTGTATGAATCTGTGAGTATAGTCAGAGTATGCAGCTATATAAATACATGCGAAAATGTTTGAAGTACGGTGAAGAGAGCTTTAAAGTTAAAGAGGGGCTAATTTCAGTGTTAGATTACACAGGGTCTTAAGAAGATTTGTTGTGGTATAAGAGGTATTATGTTTACTGTGGTCTGCAACCTAGCCTGCTTGGCAGTGAGGGAAATCTTTGTTCTCCCTACCTGCCATGCTGCCCTTTGACCAGCCTGATAACATAGCCCCAGTGGACTTGGGGGAAATCTGACCCCAACATTGTGTGCACATAACTAACTTAATATTTACTCATGTTATACGAATATTTGTCCTCTGGCTCTATATACATAACTATGGATCACTACATGTGCTTTTGTAATAATGATCCAGCCCTGGTCTACTTGGGGCGATTAGCATTGGTCTAGGCCTTAAGACTGTACACGGGGGGGGGCGGAGCCTGGCCGGGAACCAAGATGGCCGCGTGAGCCGATAGCTCCCGAGACCCAGGCACAACGGAGCAACCCACAGCACACTGGCAGAGCAGTAACCCCCACTAGCCAACCCCCTCACCTACCGGGCACCCCACAGCAATGGGCGGCAGCAGGAAAAAACGGGAAACGCAGCCGTCGGTCGCCTCGCACTTCAGAGTGCAGGGGGACCCGGCGCCATCTTCCCCACGTGGCGCTGAAAACTCTGACTCGGAGCACAGCGAGCCCTCAGCTCCGGAGTCAGCACCGCTGACGAAAGCCGACCTCCAGCGGCTGCTTAAAGAGGCAGCAGCCGATATAAAATATCACATGGCTGCAGAATTGGAGAAACAGCTCCAGAGCCTGAAGGCAGAAATCACTGATCTGGGGGAGCGGACAGGGCAAGTGGAGCACAGAGTGGACGACATTATGGACACAGTGACCGCCCAGGCAGACACCATTTCAACTCTGCAATCACGCATAGAAACACTGGAAAATGGACTGGAAGACCTCAGCAATAGATCCAGACGAAACAACATCAGGATCAGAGGCCTCCCAGAAACCATCACTGGAGAGTTACTTCACTCCACGCTGCAAGAGGTATTTCTGACCCTCTTACCTGACAAAACCCCACAAGAGCTAACCATGGACAGAGCCCACAGAGCCCTGAAGCCCCCTAGCCAAGACCACACAGCCCCCAGAGACGTGATAGTGAGGCTTCACTACTACTCCGTCAAGGAAGCACTTATGGCGGCGAGCAGAAAAAGCCCGCCAAAACTGGACACCGCCACGCTGGCATTCTACCAAGACCTAGCACCCACCACGTTAGCCAAACGTCGAGAGCTGAAACCACTCACAACGGCACTAACCCAAGCAGGCTTAGCCTACAGGTGGGGGCACCCCTTCAAACTCCTTGTCCGCAGAGACAACACGACCCACATCCTCACAGACCCCTCCAAACAGAAAGCTTTTGCCTCCAAACTGGGCCTGCGCCTACCAGCGGCAAGATCTGACACCACTACCACCACTGCATGGAGACGACCCCCAGCACTGCAACCACTGTGGGAAAAACCATCGCTGCAAAGACACCACCACGCCGGGAACAGCCCAAAAGCTACGCCAAGCACCGGACCACAGATGACCTGACTCCATCGCACCGACCCTGAACCCAGACATCCCAGGGGCTGACCTACAAGGCGCACCGAAACGACGGCTTCAATAAAGAGCAAGCCGCAACACAGAGACTGCACCTATCCAACGACCCATCAAATATCCTTTACGTACTTTAAATGTAGAGACGCTGGTCATACGTGCCACGATTGTTTATTTGTCTACTTGTATACATGTGAACTGCTAGCGAGCCCTGCAAATGTGCACGGCTCAAATTAGAAAAGAGGCACCACACTCAGCACCAAGGGGACTAGACAGCGGGGGGTAGGGGAGCAGGGGGAACGCCACACCACCTCAGCGGGCAAAACTAGGGGGAGTTGGGAGGGGGGAGGAAGTAAGTGGGAACGGGCTGGGACGATAGGGAAAACCCACACTGAACCACCTGACCCCCAGACAATAGGCTACACGCCACCCCACTGGAACAACCTGGGGGAGACGGGTGGGAGAACGCCCCATAACCGAACACCAGGGACTCAGGAAAGCCGGGACCGCCCTAACCCCGACTTCAACACCAGGAACCCCAGCCCAAGAGACCATGCTGACACCCCTCCCCCAGAAGGGCCCCCTAACCCACGGGAGCCACCAACCCCCCCAGACAGATCTGTAACTAACAGACCCAAAGACACCATCCCCCACTCCCAACCCACGACTGCCCAGTGGAAATCCGCACACACCTGGACCGGGACGCACCTCAGGACTTACCCCCACCACGCCCCAAGTTAACACTGGGGCACTGGAGTCCCACCTAAGGGACATTCCCAACACGTCACTAAACTTGAACCTGGCACAGACCATAAGTCCAGGAAGTTGTATATATGTTCACAGTTGTTTTTCTTTGTACCCACAGTTTACCCCCGGAGAGTACCATGGCGGGACACAAGACCTTAGAACCACATCCAAAACGGGAAGAAACCCGACGCAACAACCCCAAACCTCCACCCACAACACAGGGGGCAGGACCAAGGCACGATCGACACCGCAGTACCCCACACACCAAAATGTAAGCTAAGGTAACATGCATATCCATTAACTGCAAGGGGCTCAACCACCCCTCGAAACGCCACTGGGTTATGCGCTGGGCCAACAGGTCGAGGGCAGACGTGGTCTTCCTCCAGGAGACACACTACGCTCACACACGCCCGTTCCCTCTCCTAAGCCGTCACTACCAAACCTGTCACCTCGCCAACTCACATACAGGCAAACATAATGGGGTGGCAATTTTACTGAAAAAAAATTGCCCTATACACCTTAAAGATGTCCAAAAAGACCCACAAGGACGATATATAACAGTACTTGGCACTATTGGACCCACAAAAATAGCTCTGACCTCCATATATGCACCGACGACTCCAGACCCACAATTTTGGCAGATAATACAAGCTCACCTTAGCCAACATCCTAGCTACCAAAGAATAATAGGGGGGGACTTCAACGCTACAATCTCCCCATCTATAGACAGACAACGCTACTCCCCCCACACCCAGCAACCCACCCATCCCTCCAGAGCGGACAAAATGTTGGCCGACTTCATAACCCAAACGGGCCTCATAGACATATGGAGATCTCAACACCCAACAGACCGTGACTACACGTTCTACTCGCACCCCCATCACACCTACTCCCGCATTGACCTCTTTCTCATCTCACCATCCCTAATCCCTCACGTCACAAATTCTGCAATAGGCAACATTACCTGGTCTGACCACGCAGACATCACACTACAACTCCAACCACCACAAATCTCATGACCCTGGACCTGGAGGCTCAACCCTATACTACTCCATGACCCCCAAATAGTTGCCCAACTGAAGACAGAACTCACCCAATACTTCGACACCAATAAAGACTCGGTGCAATCACACGCGGTACTTTGGGCAGCACACAAAACAGTGCTCAGGGGATCCCTGATCAGCATAGCCACGGCGCAAAAAAAAAACCACATAGCCCACATAACATCCCTACTGGACCAGATCAGACAACTCGAAGCACAACACAAACTAACCCCCACACAAGATCTCACAACACAATTGCACCACCAGCGCCAGACCCTTAAACAGGCCATGGCGAAAGACGCAACTAAAGCTTTACAATGGACAAAACAAATGTTCTACGAAAAATCAAACAAAGCAGACACACTACTGGCCCGAAGGCTACGCAAACGCCAGCAAGCCAAGCAAATCACCACCATCCATACCCCCACAGGCCAACCAACCGACATACCCAATAAAATAGCCGAGACCTTCCAGAAGTATTTCACTGACCTATACGACCACTCCCCTCAACACCGCCAAGATGACGGCCCCCTACACGATAACATACAAACCCTCCTAGCAAAGGCCCACATTCCGACACTCACGACGGAGGCTCAAGCACACCTCTCTACAGAAATTACAGAGGAGGAGGTGAGGAGAGTCATAGGCACCACGAAACCCAACAAAAGCCCAGGCCCGGACGGATACTCGGGCATCTACTACAAAACATTCACAGACAACCTGCTACCCTACATGACAAAGCTATATAACTCGCTCATGACTGGAGATCAGCTGCCCGAGGACATGCTGGAGGCAAACATTTGCCTACTACCCAAACCTGGCAAACCGCATACGGAACCAGGTCACTACAGACCCATTTCCCTATTAAACGTAGACATCAAAATCTTCACCAAAATCCTTGCCAACAGACTGCTCCCCTACATTCCATCGACAATTCACCCCGACCAGGTCGGATTTGTCCCCACAAGACAAGCGAGCGACAACACCAGACGGACTTTAGACCTCATATGGGTAGCCAATCACCGTCGCATCCCCACCCTCCTACTATCCCTTGACGCCGAGAAGGCATTTGATAGACTACTATGGCCCTTCCTCTTCGCCACCTTAGAGAAACTCCAATTCCCAACACAATTCATGACAGCCCTCAAAACGATCTACTCAGTCCCAAGAGCAAAATTACTCATCCCAAACGCGCAACCCCCCCACTTCCCTATACATAACGGAACAAGGCAGGGCTGCCCACTGTCCCCGATCCTTTTTGCCCTATCATTGGAACCACTTTTACACCTCATACGCACCACCGCTACCATCACGGGCATTACAGTACGCTCCCAAGCTTACAAGGTGGCGGCGTACGCCGATGACCTGCTCCTAACGCTAACTGAACCCCTCACCGCCCTCCCACCACTCCTACAACTGGTGAAAGAATACTCAGCAGCCTCAGGATATAAACTAAACCTGGACAAGACAGAGGCACTTAGCATAAATATCGACCAAAACACGATGGAGACACTACTGGAAACATACAGGTTTCGCTACAACACATCCCACATCCCATACCTAGGTATACAGCTACCAGCAGCACTACACCGCACATACGCCCTGAACTACACCCCAATGATACAGAAAGCAACGGACGATCTCAAAAGATGGCAAAACCTATCACTATCATGGTTAGGCCGCATTGCATCAGTAAAGATGAACCTCCTACCCCGCTTCCTTTACCTATTCCAAACCCTCCCCATCCCACTCCCCACAACTGACGCAAAATATGTCCAAAAACTAATAGACAACTTTATCTGGGCAAATAAAAGACCCAGAATAAAAAGGAGCACCATGTACATCCCCAATAGGACGGGAGGACTGGGACTACCCCATCTCCAAAACTACTATTACGCCGCACAGCTCAAACAGATCCAACACTGGCACACCCCGCAGGGGATCAAACGATGGGCGGACCTGGAACATGACCTATTCGGACGCGACCACCCATCCCTCTACATATGGGTACCAAAGAAATCACGCCCCCTACCACCACCACTGCCCCCAGCAATCGCAAACTCAATAGACTTGTGGGATAAAACGTCCCGGAAATTCCCCATCATAAACAACCCGACACCATTGACGCCAATACTACTACATAAGGAGGAAGCGTATAAAACACTGCTCCAATGGTACCTAACCCCGGTACGCTTGTACCATATGGGCAAAGCAGACGCGGACCTATGCTGGAAAAACTGCGGGCAGAGAGGCACATACATACACACATGGTGGCATTGCCCTAAACTGGTCCCATTGTGGGCGGAAGTAGCTACCCTAGTCTCAACACTCCTCCAGACCACCATACCATTAGACCCCTGGACCTGGCTCCTCTCCAGACCACGAGAGGACCTGACCAGAGCCCAAAACAAAATGACAAACCGGATAGCCTTAGCGACTAGACGGGCAATAGCCGAAGTATGGGGATCGCCAAACACCCCCACACTGCAAACGATCATACGCAAAACCAAGGAAGCAATACACATGGATAGGCTATCAGCCATAATTCATGAGACCTCTAAACACTTCCACAGAATCTGGGACCCCTGGTTATCTGATCCCCACCTACAATAAGGGCACACGGACAGCCTCCACCTCACCCACCAGGCCCGCTATTCCAACATAGCGATCAAAATACCAACGCACGGAAACTCACAGTACAAATATTACCCCAACCCGAACCATTGGAGGTCTACTGGGCTCCCGCAACAGTGTCCCACCGTGGTACTCTCACCCTTGTACATAGGTTCTCCACCCCCCCCAACTGACTACCCAGACACATGGGCGCCCATTAGTACGCAACGAGGACGATAACAATAGTCAACAGAGGGCATCCCACCCTACCACAAAACGGTTAACGAGACGAACCGCAAATCTCATACGGCAACCAATACAGACTTGTCCAAACGAATCGGGCAAAGGGAATAAATCCAAAACAGAAATCCCTGAACCCCGCAATATCGCACGATAAACGCCTTACCACCGGACCGCACCAAGACACAGCTACTTGTTCGCAACACCCTAAGGCGCAAAGACAAGTAAAATATTGTGCTCCTGTACCATGGTGGCTGTATCACCCCCTCCCTCTTTCATTTCTGTACCCTAATGTTTTCTTTTTCCACACCGGAAAACAATAAATAAAGAATGTTTAAAAAAAAAAAAAGACTGTACACAGGGGGTGTATTTAAATACAGGCCATGCTTTTAGGCTTGATTTGCCAGCAGACGTGAGCTATAAAATGACTTTGGGATGGATATGCACAAAGTGAGCCATTATGTGGCATTTTGCTGATTTGAGGGCTCAGAGTCAGTAATCATATCTAACATGGGGCTGGGTTAAAGGACACATGGTGGGTCACTTTATGGTATTTGGGCTGGAGTGGTGCAATGAGTCACTTGTATGGCATTGAGCTTGTTGGGGGACTCAGGATAGCACAACGTTTAGTCACTATATGGTATTATGATACAAAACAATAGTGTACACGATGTGAAGGACAAATAAATAGCTCTAAAACACCTAAAAAGTGTTCCCTTACACCACTATAAACATAATACAATACATACATAATTATAGGTGGAGCTGTAAAATTTCTTGAACAATCTGAAAAATAGAATATATGCAGATAGCGTAGTATATCTATACAATGTATTGCATATAAAAAGTAAAAATGGTTAAACTCACAAGACTAGAGTCATACCGTCATATGACTCTAAAAGTATGCTCCCTTGGACCATTAGGGGGTTGTCCAAACCCTTCTTTCGTTGGTTTCTTGCTATTCCCCCTTGTGGTCTTTAGAGTGTCTTCAATAAAGGTGCCCAATATACAGAGGATCTTTGAATACTGGTATTTGGTTATGGAAACAGTCACTTTTTAACCCATATTGGACTTTACATTGGACTCTACCTATATCCAATATTTATTGGTATAGTGTATTGTTATTGTGTTATTTTTTTATTACTTTTTTACTTTTTTTCTGTTTCAATAAACAAATACCAGTATTCAAAGATCCTCTGTATATTGGGCGCCTTTATTGAAGACACTCTAAAGACCACAAGGGGGAATAGCAAGAAACCAACGAAAGAAGGGTTTGGACAACCCCCTAATGGTCCAAGGGAGCATACTTTTAGAGTCATATGACGGTATGACTCTAGTCTTGTGAGTTTAACCATTTTTACTTTTTATATGCAATACATTGTATAGCTATACTACGCTATCTACATATATCCTATTTTTCAGATTGTTCAAGAAATTTTACAGCTCCACCTATAATTCTGTATGTATTGTACTATATGGTATTAGAATGAGTTATTCAAATACACAATATGGGAATATAGTAGAAATCTAAAAATGGATAAAAACACAATAGTATAACACTGTTTGGTGAATAAGCCACAAGTGCATAGATTTCCACTCACAGGAATTTGGTGATAACAGGCCTATCAGGGTTCCTCCACTCGATGTGTTGGGGTTCAGGATCTCCTTCCTTGGATGTTTAAGGATATTTTTTGGTGTAAAGGAAAAGCTATAAGACTCTGAACTTTTTCTTATAACTAAAGACATATATTTACAATGATGTATTAACAAAGGACAGGTTGGCACAACCGATTAACAGCCGTGCACAATTAACTAGAAAAACTAGTAGCGATAAGGGTGCTCACTCCCAAAGCCCCATTTCCAAAAGGCTACTAATATAATCATATACTGTTGAAAGGAGGAGCACAACCAATAAAAAAATGCAAAAAGCTTTATTATACAAAAATACATATAACAGGTATCAACAAAGACACCTTGGAATGTCAAGATACTCAAATATATCTTATCAAATATGCAAGCAATGATTAGAGACAAAAAAATGAAAAAACAGATTATAATCAAAGTGATCAAATTAGAGTAGTATAACCACTTATACAAAAAAAAACAGTGTTATGATACCTGTATAAAATAGTGAACAAAAAAAATACATACCAAAGAACAAGAAATATGAGAAGAGGGTACAGACGTCAAATACAAAATAGCCCCCAACGATTCGGCGTTATCCGCCTTTATCAAGGGAGCATGATCATGATAAAATGTTTCATGGACAGGTGTGGATGATTCCTTTATTTCTAGATGAATTAAGCAGGTACAAGGTTTTGGAGTTAATTCCAGGTGTACTATGTGCATTGTTGAAGCTGGAGCTGTGAACCCACAACATGCGGTCAAAGGAGCTCTCAATGCAACTGAAATAGGCCAACCTAAGGCTCCAAAAAAAAAAAATCTGTCCGAGAGATAGCAGGAACATTAGGAGTGGCTAAATCAACAGTTTGGTACATTCTAAAAAAAAGAGACCAACACAAAAAGGCCTGGACAACCACAAAAACACAGTGGTGGATGGTCAAAGGATCCGTTCCATGGTAAAGAAAAACTCCTTCACAACATCCAGCCAAGTGAAAGACACTCTCCAGGAGGTAGGCATATTATTATCTAAGTCTACCATAAAGAGAAGACTCCGTGAGAGCAAATACAGTGGGTTATCCACAAGGGACAAACCATTCATAAGGCTCAATAATAGACAAGTCAGATTAGACTTTGCCAAAAACATCTTAAAAAGCCAGGCCAGTTTTGGAACAGCATTCTTTGGACAAAACTTATGGAAGTAAAACCCACAAACAAACAACAACTCAAGATAGCTGCAGTAAAAACCTACTTGCTACATAGGTCTTTCTATGATTTCCAGAAATCTATTGAGATGGAGGAGAAGCTACAGTTCCAGACAGGGAAGGAACAGTAGGCAGAGATTTCCACATCCTTACTGTTCTTACTGTAAATCTCCATCCTTCGAGTCTAACTGCGTGACCTCATGTCTTGTGTATAGTCCTGTTTATGAACAGATTTCCAGACCATGGTTTGTTTTGAAATACAGTGCGGTATAAGTGACAAAGACCTACACCAATAAGTGGAGCGCTCAAACAAATATAAAGCTTACCAAGCGTGACTTAGTCCAATAGTACAATATGAAGTACATGCCAAAAAAAATACAAAAAGATACAATATAGTGCAGATGGTATTTAAAATTGCAATACAGAAATAATAATAACGTATCAAACTGTACAAGCACATTTTAAGGAGCCTGTATATAAAAAAACTGGCTCCGTATTAAGGCTTGTATGCTTTTTTTGGTAGCACCACCCTTCCGCTTCGGCTTGGAGTAGTTCTCATAAATAAGACATAAAAGGAGAACGAACCAATGTGTAGACTGTAACGATAAAAACATGGATATAAAATAATAAATGTGGTGCTCACCTGGTCCCGAGCCTATGGGACCGGCTCTAAGGTGTATAGATGTGGTGCCAATTTAAATAGGGATGGCACTGCCCACATGAAGATTCCTAGAGGCTCCAAAAAGGACTTGAGCGGGATATCTTTAGTAAAATAACAAATTTATTGATATACAATAATAATAAAAAATAAATGGTAAAAAGTCCTTAGTAAAAGTCCTTTAAAATGGCCAATACGCATTTCACTCTCAATAGAGCTTCCTCAGTCAGCTGTAATGATGGTCCTCTGAATCTTCCATTATAAGTGTCCTTTAGGCCTTCCCCTTTAATGATCTGAATGCAGTTTATCCAATCACAGTGGTGTATATATATTTCTTATGTGGGATAATTTGTGTGTATACCTTTAATTGGCCGAATTTTCGTGCCTTTATTTACTGACATTTTCATTGGTGGACAATGGTGGTTGGCGGAAGTACTGGGGACCCACCGGGGCGGTTGGCGGAAGTGACGTCACAGACCTCCGTGAACGTCATCTAGCTGCCGCCTCGAGGAGACTCCCAGATCCTCTCATGCGTGCGGGCCGGAGGAAGGGGACTTTGATCCATAGGAGGAGATTCATCCCTAAGAGGGTGGTGTGTGAGCACATCAACTCATCCCGCCCTTCGATGTGCTCACAAGCTCCTCCCCCCTCCAACACAGCACAGCAATGGAAGGGATTATATGCATAAATAAATGAATAGTGGGCAGGAGAAAAAAGAGAAAATAATATAAAAAGAGAGGGAGAAGAGGGGACATAGGATAATTATAATTAGTACATTATATTTACATATATACAAAAGCTTAATATGATATTCTCAGTGTATATCTATACCAAGTGACTTATTGTACTTAAAGTGCATAAAGTATAGTGTATATGTAAAGGGATAAAATTATATTAAGTGCTAAATTTAGATTGGTATGTGCAAAGACTAATATCCTTATGGATGTATTTTAATGTATCCAATAGGATATTGAGTGTATGTTAATTAAATATTGACAGAATAATATTCTCAATAAATTATTAAACCACAAGTGGGGATTGAACCAACGTATTCAAGAATAGCGTGTGAGAAATATATTTATTTAAAATGTGTTTATTTAATGGGGCCCCAAAAAGGAATATTAAAAATATTAGAATTGGAGTAACTGGTGAAATATATATTCATAAATAAAATGACAGAGTTCGAAGTCTATATTCAAACCCCAAGGTTTTAAAGTCCCGAGGTTGAATATCCACCTCATCTCGCTCTGTCCCAAAAGTTTATTAAGGTTCCCTCCTCGCCAATGTCCCTTAACCTTATATATGCCCATGAACTTCAACTCTCTTGGCTCACTATTGTGTGCAAGTGCAAAGTGGTGTGATACACTATGTCCTTCGAATTTTCTCCTAATATTTCTAATATGTTCTTCAATCCTTATGTGCAAATTACGTTTAGTGCGTCCCACATAATTTAAGCTACAGGGGCATTCCAATAGGTATATTACATTACTCGAGTGGCAAGTTATAAGTTCTTTAATGGGGAATTCATCATTATTATTAAAGTTCTTGAACCTCTTAATGTGTCTCTTTTTATTGTTTGTATTCCTGCACGCTAAGCATGTACCACATCCATAAAAACCTTTTCCTTTGTCTAAGAAAGTAGTGGCCCTTGTTTTCTTAATATGATTTTTTACCAATAATCTATTTTAATTGGCGGCCCCTCTAAACAATATTGTAGGTTTTTCTGGTAAAATTTGGGACAGAGCATGGTCTTGTAATAGGATGGGCCAGTGTTTATTTAGAATTTTTCTTAATGCCCTATTGTTGTGGCTGTAGTTACATATAATAGGTAGATTGACTTCACCTTCATTTTGTGTTCTATTTTTTTCTTGTAGTAAAGTATTTTGTGAAATTTTTGAGACTTGTGCGTAGGTGTCTTTTAATATTTCCTTTTTGTAGCCCTTATCTAATAGGTCAGTGATTAATTTATCCGCTTGTTCCTTAAAAGTGTCCTCATCCGTGCAATTTCTTTTAATTCGTATGAGTTGTGACTTGGGTACACTGTTTAACCAAGGGGAAAAATGACAACTAGAGGTATGGATAAAACTGTTGACATCCACGTCTTTAAAATGAGTTTTAGTTTTCACCCTTTCATCATCTATAAAAATATAAAGATCTAAAAATGTAACTGTGTGTTTACTAAAAAATAATGCCCCATTCGTTGTTGTTAAGCTGATTTAAAAACGTGTTTAATGTATTCTCTGTGCCTTTCCAAATAAAAAATAGGTCATCTATGTAACAGCGATAGGTCACCAGGCCCCCCACCCAGCCGTCGTTAAGTTGTAGCTAAGTCACTTGGTATAGATAAACACTGAGAATATCATATTAAGCTTTTGTATATATGTAAATATAATATACTAATTATAATTATCCTATGTCCCCTCTTCTCCCTCTCTTTTATATTATTTTTTCTTTTTTCTCCTGCCCACTATTCATTTATTTATGCATATAATCCCTTCCATTGCTGTGCTGTGTTGGAGGGGGGAGGAGCTTGCGAGCACATCGGCACGCCCAAAGGGCTCACACACCACCCTCTTAGGGATGAATCTCCTCCTTTGGCTCAAAGTCCCCTCCCTCCGGCCCGCACGCATGAGAGGCGTGTAGCAGGATCAGAGGATCTGGGAGCCTCCTCGAGGTGGCAGCTAGATGACGTTCACGGAGGTCTGTGACGTCACTTCCGACAAACATCCCGGTGTGCCCCCAGTACTTCCGCCAACCACCATTGTCCACCAATGAAAATGTCAGTAAATAAAGGTGCCGAAAATTCGGCCAATTAAAGGTATACACACAAATTATCCCACATAAGAAATATATATACACCACTGTGATTGGATAAACTGCATTCAGATCATTAAAGGGGAAGGCCTAAAGGACACTTATAATGGAAGATTCAAAGGACCATCATTACAGTTGACCTAGGAAGTTCTATGGAGAGTGAAATGCGTATTGGCCATTTTAAAGGACTTTTACTAAGGACTTTTTTACCATTTATTTTTTATTATTATTGTATATCAATAAATTTGTTATTTTACTAAAGATATCCTGCTCAAGTCCTTTTTGGAGCCTCTAGTAATTTTCATATGGGCCATCCCTATTTAAATTGGCACCACATCTATACACCTTAGAGCCGGTCCCATAGGCTCAGGACCAGGTGAGCACCACATTTATTATTTTACATCCATGTTTTTATCTCTACAGTCTACACATTGGTTCGTTCTCCTTTTATGTCTTATTTATGAGAACTACTCCAAGCCGAAGCAGAAGGGTGGTACTACCAAAAAAAGCACACAAGCCTTAATACGGAGCCAGTTTTTTTATATACAGGCTCCTTAAAATGTGAGTGTACAGTTTGCTATGGTATTATTATTTCTGTATTGCAATTTTAAATACCATCTGCACTATATTGTATCTTTTTGTATTTTTTGGCATGTACTTCATATTGTACTATTGGATTAAGTCACGCTTGGTAAGCTTTATATTTGTTTGAGCGCTCCACTTATAGGTGTAGGTCTTTGTCACTTATACCGCACTGTATTTTATATGATTGTTTAGTGGAAAAGAGGATATTTCCACATAAGTGTATAGAGCTGCTTGTTAATCACTCTTATTCTTGTTTAAGCACTTTGTTACACACATTCCTCCGTAAAAGGAGGTAACTTTGGATTGGTATTCATGGTTTGTTTTGCCCCGAATATATTTGTATAATGCTATCATATCCCTTCTGAGGGGCCATTTTTTTCAAACTAAATTTAACTTTTTTTATCTTTTTATTGAGTTTTTATCAGCATAACAAATCAGAATAGCAAGTTATTAACGTATTAATACAAATCATGGTAATAAATCAGTGTATCAAAATACTGCATATCAAAAGTATTGTAATAAGACATTACATATCAAAATAGTAAATCATTGTGACATTTTAGTGCAAAACAAAAGTTTTTCATTTCTTTCTGACTCACAAATTGTATGATTTGAAACAAAAAATACAGTGTAGTTAGTACTTCATCAAAGATAGCTTACAAGACAGTGCAATGGTATGATTCCATGTAGACTCAAATATCTGTAATCTTACTGCAGAGTAATAATTGTCTATTATTTATCCTGTGATCTAACTTGAGTTGTCTGAATAATCTAGTCTGCGATACTAGTACCTCCCTTTATCTTATATTAATAAGTGAATTATAATTGAGTTATGTATTTTAGACGAATTATGAATAGTTTAGAAGTTATGCACCACAAATGATAAGTCGTGAATCAGAAGCTTTGAGGTGTAAACTCCGAATCGAGTTGTTCAGTCGTACCTCCTGTAGTTTCCTATTAAGTGCTGTATAGTTTAGTAGGGTGTTCTCCCTAACATGTTTCTCCTCTAGGATTTTAATTTCCTGGGACAATTTCCTCGTGTCCATTTCCCTTTTGCGTTTGAGGTGAGAAGCCATTCTAATAAGTTCACCTTTCGCTACATATTTGTGTGCCTCCCATTGCATGGCTGGTGTTGTGTCTGGGCTATCATTTTCCCTAAAATATATGTGGACAGTCTTTTGAAGTCTCGTGATGACTGCTGTGTTGTTTAGCAGTAGGTCATTGAGTTTCCACTGAGGAGATACACTTGGCAGGGATGGTATGACCATGTCTAGGGAGATCGGGGCATGGTCTGACCATGTAATTGTCCCATATTTAGCAGTTTTAAGAAGGGGAGGTTTCTGTGTTGGAGGAAGAGCACGTCTATACGGGAATAGGTGCCAGAGGGGTGGGAGAAATATGAAAAATCTTATTGCGTTGGGTGGAGTGCTCTCCAACCATCATAAAGTTGGACATCTTGGAGAATGTTTCTTATGTTTTGTCTTGTTTGTGTGAGGTAGCCAGTCAAGGGAGAGGAGGTGTCTAGGTCTCCCTCCAAGGAAATATTTAGGTGCCCTCCCAGTATAAGTATCCCCTCCTGAAATGCATTTAACTTGGAGAGGATTTTCCTCAGGGCTTGAGGTTGTTTTCTATTCGGTAAGTATACATCGGCCAAGGTTATTTTTGTGTTTCCTACTTCTCCTTTAACAAATATGAACCTGCCTGACTCATCAGCTTGCTGATCTTGGTAAATAAAGGGCACTTGGCTACTCACTAATATTTCTACTCCTCCGGATTTACTCTCCATATAGCTGTTGAAGTAACCCGTTGGGTATCTACGATTCCGAAAAATCGTGTCAGAGTCCCTATGGAAATGCGTCTCCTGTATGAACACTATTTCCGCTCCTTGTCTTTGAAAGTCAGCAAGTGCTATGGAGCGTTTTTCAGGTGTATTTAGCCCTCTGGCGTTATGTGAGTGTATACGTATGGAGGTTATAGTGAAAACAGTTATTGCTGGATAGGATGGAGACACTGGTCAGTATGAACAAAATTTCTGTGATGCGAAGTGATGGTCTAAGCATGTACTTTTGAAGGGCTTGTATGTCATCCGATATGGTTAGTTGGAGAACTCTCCTCGGTTAGGCAGATTCTTCCTTCGGGGCGAGAATAGCCTTTGGTCAGGTCTCCTTTTCTTTGCCAGGGTGTTCCAGCACTGGCGTTGTGGAAGATTGGCCTGATCTTGATTGTGATTGGGTTGTGGTCCACTCCAGTCAACGACTTGCGTTTCAGGAAGTTCCATCTCCCGCAGAAAGGGTCCTATATCCAGGGGAGTAGTAATGGTATAGCTCGTGCCTTTGTGGTTTACTATCAATGCAAATGGGAAACCCCAGCGGTATCTTATGTTGCGGTTCCGTAAATGCTCGGTAATGGGCTTCAGTGCCTTTCTCGCTTGTAATGTGAACCAAGACAGGTCTGGGTAGATTTGGATCGGATAACCGTGAAATAATAATGCTTGAGCCGTGTCCCTTAGAGCTCTCAGGATATTATCTTTAATGGCAAAGTAATGTATACGACATATCACATCTCTGGGTGACTCTGCAGCTGTCCCCCTCGGGCGTAGCAATCTGTGGGCCCTGTCTAGTAGGATTTGGTTGTCACTGGCTTCACCAAGAATCAAATTGAAGAGCTCAGTTAGGGTGGAAACTATGTCTTCCCCTTGGGCCTTAGGTAAACCCCTGATTCTCAGGTTATTTCTGCGGCTACGATTATCTAAGTCATCCATATGACGGGTAATAGAGGAAAGGAATTGAGTTTGGCTTTCCATTGCGGTTGAAAGGTTAGTCATTTGAGCCTGCAATACATCCCTCTCCCCCTCCAAGTCATCCACACGGAGGCTTACTTGCGTGATATCAGTGTTCATCGCCTCCATTTTGGATTGGAACGTTGTCTCCAGCTTGCTCAACATTGCGGCTAAATCAGCTCTTGAAGACAAGTTTTTCAGCAGAGTGCTGATGTCTGCCTCCTGTGCCGTGTCCTGGGCACTCAGAAGGGGCCGGGCCGGCCCGGCCGGGGGAGACACAGTTTGCCTTTCCGTCGCTGCCATCTTGCCGCCTGCTGCCTCTGTGTCATGGTCTGTAGAATCGCGGAAAAGACGGGTCAGAGAGACAGATTTTGTAGCAGAGGTTTTCCCCCCTCTTCCCTGATTCGGATGCTGCTTTTTGGGGTTCCCCATCCCGCTCCAAAATCTCTGATTAGGGTGGATTGAATCCTAGGCCTCAGAGAGCTGGATCAGTGCACGCACCTCCAAATGTAACTTTTTTTCATACCTAAACTGCACATTTTCCAGTGCCATGATGTCCTTCTTTAGAAGAGGTGCCCAAAAATGGTGGTTTTACCAGTGATTCATTAAGAGGAAAAATTTAATTTTCATCCGAGAATAAATATCCTTATTTATACATGACAATACCTTACTGGGCATAGCAACTGCCAAGTGACATTGCACATTGTTTCCTAGTTTGTTATGAATAACAATTCCCAAATCCTTCTTGTGTGTTGTTATCCCTAATTCACTACTATTTAGGGTGCAAGTTGCTTGTGCATTCTTGACCCTTAAGTGCATAACTTTGCATTTTTCTACATTAAATTTAATTTGCCATTTGAGTGCCCAGTCCACCAATCTATTTAAATCCCTTTGCAGCAAAGTAATATCCTGCTCACATTGTATTACTTTACAGACTTTTGTGTCATCTGCAAACACTGAAACATGTCTTCCGATGCCTATTTCAAGATCACTTATAAATATGTTAAATAGAAGCAGTTGCAGAACCCTGAGGGTCACCACTTACCACTTTTGTCCAGCTTGAAAATTTACTATTAATGACAACCCACTGTACTCTCTTTAAGCCAATGTTCTACCGAAGAACAAGAATTTTCATCTAGACCAATTTCTTTTAGTTTGAGCACCAACTTATTGTGTGGAACTGTATCAAATGCCTTGGCAAAATCCAAGTAGATCACCTCCACTGCAACATCCTGATCTATACTTCTACTTACTTCTTCATAGAATGCAATTAGGCTAGTTTGACATGACCTATGTTTCATAAAACCATGCTGATTGTTGCGAATAATAATATTCTTTCCAATTAATTCCTGAATATTATCCCTTAATAACCCTTCAAATACTTTCCCAGCCACAGAAGTTAAGCTCACAGGTCTATAATTTTCAGGCAAAGATTTGGAACCCTTTTTAAATATAGGAACCACGTCTGCCTTTCTGCAATCCTCCAGTACAATTCCTGGAAGTAAAGAATCTTAAAAGATTCAATACAGAGGTAGGAAGCACAAAGTGTCACTACATAGCATTGGGCTGGGTTGGGGGCACAGGGTGAGACACTATAGACACCAGGGAATTTACCTAGATAACATTGGTTGGATAATCATAGTGGACTACGGGCAATGGGCATAATGCAGCAGTGCATCCTTCTTGGATGAAATTAAGGATTGGCAGGGATGTGCAAGGGTGCTCTGCATAAAAATACCTTATTGCATTGGTCACTGGCCTCTATGAATGGCTCAGTCAACTTCTCTCTGGCTCCTGGCTATGTGGACTTGGCTCATTATTTACCACCACTCACATCATGCTATCACCACCTAGAAAGTCATAGATAATTTAATGGTCAGCTTGCGCCTAGCACTGGAGAGCAGCAGCTAAATTAGCTATCACTATTGCTTAGGTATAAGGACCGCAGCCGTGCATATCAGAGGCTGCACTAAAATGACAAGCATTTCATTTTTTTTTTTTAAATATGTTAGTGAAATACTATTTATACACACACATACCTTTCCCAATCAGTACTTGTTTCAACTGTGGGATTTGGTAGAACACTTGGCATGCTATCACATTAGCATGACAGACCTATATTATATAATATTAGATAGATGTTCCTTATTAAACGGCCCGAGAGAGAAAGAGAGAGTGTGTGTGTGTGTATATATATATATATATATATATATATATATATATATATATATATATATATATATATAAAAACAGAGAACCTTGGCACTCACCCTTTAATATTCAAGACCAATCTATCCTTGCCTGGGTGCAGTCCTCAGCGTTTAGTATATAACAAAAAATATGTACAAGGAGCACTCACAGGTTTTCATCAAAATTCTGTTTTATTCGTTAGTGCAAGTTACATGTGCAGGTTTAGATGATCGACGTTACGACCCTTACAAGGTCTTCTTCAAGATCAATAGTGCAGTATACAAAGTGAGTATATATACATAATAATAATGCTGATAACTTACCAACAGGTGTGTGAGAGAGAAAGCCACCCGCCATCCGAAACCCGGAAGTGCAACAGAAGAATCACGTGAGCAACGTGATGTCGGATAGACGGCGTTGCTAAGCAATGTATCAAACTAAATGTGTGTGTGGCCGGCTGTGCTAAAAACAGATAGAACAAACATGGTGATATTAGTGATCACCCAGTACAGGGATCTATACATGTAAGGAAACATATTCTAAGGAGGATACTTATGTGAACCACCTACCAGTCCTATGATAGTCGCCCATGTAAAAGTGAGCCATTATGGATGTGCAAAATAGATGTGCAATATGAGTGAAAACCAATTTAACATGAAACCTGTGAAGATATCCAAATGTGCCCACCTACAAAGGGTCTATTGCAAAGGATCTGTCTAATAGTATCTATATTATAGCAAAAACATATCATGTGTACATACATACCAAATGAGTGTAAATGTACACCACATACAGGTTACAATTCCATACCCCAATAAGTATCATAAACAATAAATCTTTTTACACACCAAATCGCAGAATACTCTGTAATAGTCTATACACAGCACATAATATCGGTATTTGTCCCCCTTAATTCATATAAATATGAGCCATGCTATTAGTAACCGTGGCAATAACAGGCGCTGTGTCCACCTCAAAGACACAGTACCTGCATTAAACAGTTCCTCTTAAAATACTGTAGAAGGAGGACTGCTCATCTACATCCTTATAGAGGATATACCAATGAGCAATAAAGTAATGTAAAGAACTGTGACAGCAAATTGCCTATATTATAATTATACCTGCTTCTACATGTCAATTTCAAATATATGTTATAGCTCCACCTATACAGTGTACTCGACAGGGCTACAAAGCTAGTACAATTCCTGGAAGTAAAGAATCTTAAAAGATTCAATACAGAGGTAGGAAGCACAAAGTGTCACTACATAGCATTGGGCTGGGTTGGGGGCACAGGGTGAGACACTATAGACACCAGGGAATTTACAAGATGACATTGGTTGGATAATCATAGTGGACTATGGGCAATGGGCATAATGCAGCAGTGCATCTTTCTTGGATGAAATTAAGGATTGGCAGGGATGTGCAAGGGTGCTCTGCATAAAAATACCTTATTACATTGGTCACTGGCCTCTATGAATGGCTCAGTCAACTTCTCTCTGGCTCCTGGCTATGTGGACTTGGCTCATTATTTACCACCACTCACATCATGCTATCCCCACCTAGAAAGTCATAGATAATTTAATGGTCAGCTTGCGCCTAGCACTGGAGAGCAGCAGCTAAATTAGCTATCACTATTGCTTAGGTATAAGGACAGCAGCCGTGCATATCAGAGGCTGCACTAAAATGACAAGCATTTCATTTTTTTTTTTTTTTAAATATGTTAGTGAAATACTATTTGTACACACACACATACCTTTCCCAATCAGTACTTGTTTCCCCTGTGGGATGTGGTAGAACGTTTGGCATGCTATCACATTAGCATGACAGACCTATATTATATAATATTAGATAGATGTTCCTTATTAAACGGCCCGAGAGAGAAAGAGAGTGAGAGAGTGTGTGTGTGTGTGTATATATATATATATATATATATATATATATATATATATATATATTTGTATTCGGGGCCATTTCAGTATAGTATGAAATAGCTAGTGAGTATACTTATCATAATAATTAAAAGTCGGTAGAGGTGTGCCGAAACCGACGTGTGTGGTAGGCCTGTAAATAAGAGGGCAAAAAGGAATACCCATATAATGTTATCAAAGATATTTATTAACAAAACCACAAGACATGGAGTTAGCATATTTACGATGACATTTTCACAAATGCATGCCTTAATTCTTGTGTTGGCTGTGGTATGTAAACAGCGTAAGCGGATGACTTCCAGCGGCCCAAGGTTTTTATGATGTGAACCGGGATGTCTAGGCCTGAGGCTGTGGAGGCTGCCCCTATCCGGAATGAATGCCCAGAATAGTTTGCGGCGTTTAAGCCGAGTCTGGTCAATAGTAAGCGAATATACATCACAAATTTGGCGGTAGTGAGTGCTGTGCCGTGCAGTGAAAGGAGAGCGAGTGAGGTTCGTGTAGGTGATGACTGTAGATAGTTGTTAAAAACTTTCACCGGGCACCATGCGTTGTTGGTGGGGTAGTATTGAATAAGAACCTCGTGCCCCATCTGGCTGGTCTTAGTTGAAGGTAAGCTTAATACGTAGTGGTCCTGTTTTTTGTACAAGTTAGAATACCGGAGGCAATGCTTGGACTCGTGTTGCCTAGTAATGGTAAATTCTCTGGGTCGTAAGAAACCGTAAAAAGCCAAGTATATGGCCGTTTTAAGAGTGGTGTTAGTAAGGGGTTCGAACGGTGTGGTATCTAGTAGGTTTGACAAACGTTTAAACAGTTGAATGTCTATAGGCTCCCTACGTTGCGGTGTAGGTCCTTGCGATTTGAGCATACCCCTAAGGAGGGTTTTAATGGGGTAGGAGGTGAGAAACCCTTGGTTGTTAGGATGTTCTGTGAACATATGATGTTGGATACCTGTGAGGTATAGTTTTGTGGTATTATGCGACATTTTTAACTTAATGTGGCAAAATGTGGCAAAAGCCACCAATGTTACATTGTCAAACCAATTTGTGAGATTATGGTCTGCCATGAATTTCTTGTATAGGTAGTAAGCTCTATCATATGCGCTATGCGTGTTTTTTGCGAGAGCGAGTTTTGTAAGTATCTTGCTGTGTTGTAATAATTCCTCTAGTCCATGATTAGATCCTGGAGTTGGGGAGCGATCGTGGCTACCGGTGACGCTGTTGGTAGAGACTCCCTGAACGCCTGAAACTGAAAGCGGGACAGCTGGTCAGCGGCTGTATTATAGATACCCGGTACATGGTAACATACTAGATGAAA